TTTTTCTTAACGATATAAAACCACAAGTAAGGGGAGAACAGGCAAGGAGAGTATTCGGAGCAACAACACTGGAAGTTGGAAAGCAGATGGACAAGGAGAAACTGCTTAGCAGACCCAAGGCCGCCTGACCCTACTCCAGCATGAGGAAAACTGACAACTACCCTTCCTACACTAGAAAATCCCCAAGGGCATAAGAACTGGCCACAGGTGCCTTTAAGACTGGGGCTAGAGGAGGAGCTGGAGAGGTAAAAAGTTACTTGAAAAACTATCAGATCTCTGGATCCCTTTATCCACTCTGTACTACTAGGTGACAGCTCCTTCCCCACCATGGCCAAGGGTGAGATTTATAACTAGAAAGAAAAAACTTAGCCCTGAGGATAAGCCACGGAGGGCACGACTATTCTGGGGAAAATGGAAAAAATGTAATAATCATACATATAAAATAAATGCTTTATATAGAGAGCCCACCCAACCCTTTAATCTGTGTGTTTCCCATAAAACTTTTACTCTCTAAACAAGATACTGGAGACTACACACTGAGGAATCTTGCTGGTCCAGGAGGAAAGGACTAAAGACACAGTGGCAGTTCCCAACAGTGGCCCCCAAATCACCCTACAGAGAAGACCCAAGTTTTCAGGCCCCTCCTACTTGCTAAGAACTTCCAATCAGCTTTTTAGTCTCCCACTCTTAATCATTACCGGCCAGTCATCTCCTAGATATCTAAGGAAAGCCTGTAAATAGATGGTTATGGAACCAAACAAAGTTTTAAAAAGCCAACTGGAAGTAACACAAGCTATACATGGAGAAGGAAACTCTTAGAAAACTTATCATTAGTAGTTTCAGAGAATAAAGAAAAGATATTACATTCATGGAAAGAGACAGGATGCTATAGAAAAGGATTTAAGCCCTGGACGGCTGAAATGGTTAGTGGTTAGAATGATGGCCTGTGCACTGAAGGGTCTTGGGTTCGATTCCCAGTCAAGGGCACATACCTGAGTTGTGGGTTCACTCCCCGCCACCAGTGTGGCCCATGCAGGAAACAACCAGTCAATATGTCTCTCTCATATTGATGTTTCTCTTTCTCTCTCTCTCTCTCTCTCTCTCTCTCTCTCTCTCTCTCTCTCCTCTCTCTCTCTCTCTCTCCCTTTCTCTCTTCCTCTCTCTCCTTCCCTCCCGCCCTTCTACTTTCTCTAAAGATGCAATGGGAAAAATATCCTCCTGTAAGATTAACAAAACAAAACAAAACAACAAAAGGATTTACAAAGACATCTTAGAAATTAAAAAATTTTAGAAGAGTTGAAAGATAACACTGAGGAAATGTCCCAGAAAGTAGAGCAGAAAGATAACCAGATGGAAAGGGAAAAAAGGTCCAGAAAAGAAGAGAATGAGTCCTTGGTAGCAAATGTCCACATGACAGGAGGAAGAATCAACATCAAAATAATATCAAGTTTCTCAGAACTGAAGGCATTCAGTTTCCAGGTTGAAAGTGCCCAAGCATGCCCCAGGATGAAAAGAGACCCATATCAAGATACATCATTATGAAATAGCAGAACATTCTTACAAGCTTCCATAGGGAGGTAGGGGTTGCGGGGGAGGGGGGGAATGGTCTCATGCAAAGGATTAGGAACCAAACTCTCCTCCTTCTCCAAACAGCAACATTAGGAGCAAGAAGGCAATGGAAAAATCTCGTCAAAATTCTAAAAGGAAATTATTTTCAATTTCAACTTCTATACCCAGCCAAACTCTCTATCAAGAGTAAAGAAAAAGACATTTTAAGATATAAGTTGTCTAACATCTACTTCCCATATACTCCTCCTAGGAAGCTACCAAAACAAAAATGTAAATCAAGAAAGAAAAACTTGGAATACAAAACACAGGAAATCCTTTACAGGAGAGAAATAAAGGGAATCTACAGGATGACAGTGAAGTGAGATCCTAGGATGTCAATCATGCACCGGACATAGAAAGCAACTAAATCATATTGGTGCAGAATGAATCACAGGAAAGACAGGTTGAGATCTGTCATCACAACGCCTCCTGTTATTGCACCATCTTTAGGACCTACTGAAACTACTGAAGGATGTGGTTCAGTAAAGCCATACAGTAAATCAAATAAAAAAGGAAGATGTGAGACCCAGGAAACTGAGTCAACCCAGGATAAAGGCAAAGGGAAGACCCAGGAGAATAGCTGTGGACCAGGCCTAATAGGCCACCAGTGGATCAGACCTAAGAGGCCACCAGTTCAGACAGAAGAATAGAGATCTGCAAGAGAGATGTCTCCAAGGAAGTAACTGACAGAGTACTTAGGGCAATGACTTAGCAGAAAATTATATTAAGAGGCTATTAGGGCCTGGCTGCGTTGCTCAGTTGGTTGGAGCGTTGTCCCATGCACTGGACAGTTGCCGGTTCAATTCCCAGTCAGGACACATACCTAGGTTATGGGTTCAATCCCCAGTTGGGGCACATGTGGGAGGCAACCGATCCATATCAATGTCTGTCTGTCTGTCTGTCTGTCTCTCTCCCCCTCCCTCCCTCTCTCTCTCTCTCTCCCCCTCCCTCCCTTCTATACTCTCTCAAATCAATTTTTTAAAGGCTATTAAAAAGTGTAAAAGTGAAAAACTAAATAAAATACTAACTTTAGGAAAAATAAGAAATACAATCATAGTATACTACAACATTAATTATGAATAATATTGCATAGGCATAATAAAGTAAACAGTAAATATTGATTTAAACAAAAATTATAACTATATTGAGAAAATAAGTAAGGGGGAGCAGAGAAAATTACGGTAAAGAGAGCTAATTCCCCATCTACCATAAAAGGAAGATAAGATAGCATCTAAACTTGAAGACTCAGAAGTCAGCAGTGTTCACATATTACTTAGTCTTATGGAAATGTATGCACACCAGAAGAAGAAGCTAAAAGCTGAAAACAGTTGCTTCTAAGAAAATAAGTTTGGTGGAAGGGGTGAACTACTATATTTTGATAATATGCCTGTTAGTATAATTTGAAGTATTAAACAATGTGCATGTGTTAAGTTTTGTTTTGGTAAAATAAAATAAAATTTAATTTTCTTCAAAAAGAAGGATTAAGGATTTTCTATATAGGGAAAATATCATATGCAAAAGCCTGGAATTGTGAGAGAGCCACATTTAACAGTTAGTGCCACAGTAAGGTAGGAGAAGCAGGCATAAGCAAACAGCATCAGGAGCTGCAGAGCAAAAGCTGTATCTCCTCCTTACCAGCTTTGTAGGCTCTGGCAAATCACCTCAACTATTCTAGTTTCCTTCTGTGTAAAATAATAGCACTTACTTCACTGGGTTTTGTTAAGAATTCAATGACTATAGAAACAGATAAATGTTGCAAAATGTGTTATGCTGTACAAAGGTAAGGGAAGCAGGCACATCTCTGTGTCCCCTGGAATAGGCAGTGTTCTCAAACTGGAGCTCAGAGGGTTCTAGGTAAGGGTGAGACCTGTCCAGGGGAAACCAATCCCAGAGAAGTGGTTTAGCTGGCTACAGCAGACAAGTCCCCCAGAATCAGGACATATCACAGCTGGAAACTACCAATGCCCTTAATATAAAATATGTGCTTGTGCAATAAAAAAGAAGGATCTCTTACCCTTTGAGAAAGCATGGAGGGACCTGGAGAGTATTATGCTAAGTGAAATAAGCCAGTCAGAGAAAGACAAGTATCACATGATCGCACTCATATGTGCAACCTAATGGACAAAATAAACTGTTGAACAAAATAGATCCAGAGACATAGAAGGAAATATAACATCTGAAAACGTTTCTTGCTGTTCTTGTACTAACAGCAATTTCTGACTTTGGGGAATACTAAATCCCAACCAACAGTTTCTAGAGGAAACTGCCATGCCAAAACAGACTATAGAATCTCAGAGGGAAGGCAAAGGTGGGTGGGAAAAGGTCAGCCAAAGAACTTGTATGCATATGGGCATAACCCATGGACACAGACAACAGGGGGATAAAGGCCTGGGGCGGGAGGCGCGGACAGGCTATAAGGAGTCAATGGGAGAAAAAAAACAGGACATATGTAATACTTTTAACAATAAAAATTTTAAAAATTAAATAATAAAATACGTGCTTGTGGAAGGAACCTTGACCTAGAACCCTTGAACTGCTGCCTGCACAGCTGGGAAGGGTAGGCATCTATTGGTGAGTCCTGCAGGACCTGAAGTGGGTCAGCTTGGTACAGTGGGAGACTCTATTGAGAGGTCTGAGGAGGGGCGATGCCTGGTCCAGCTTTCCAGTACTCTCACTCCTCTACCCTCCCCTTTTAAGGAACATCACTTTGCTTCCTATTTTACCAACCTGTTGCTTCAAATTCTACCAGGGAGCTCAGTGAAATGCAAATGACAATGGCCTTCTATTCTAACACTTACATGGTACTTACTGTACGCCTGATACTATTCCAGATGCTTTGCAGCTATTAATGCGTTTCGTTTCATAATAACACTATAAAGTTCATACTATTATCATTCCCCACTTTGCAGATGAGGCACTGAGAGGTTATGTAACCTACTCAGTATCACATAACTGAAAAGGGGGCAAGCCAGCATTCCAAGCCAGGCAGTCTGTCTCCAAGGTCTGCAGTCAGAATCACTGTACATTAGTCTCTAGGCTTGGGACTCCCAAGCCTCAAACTACTCAACTGTAAAACAGGGATTTGGGGGAGAGATGGTTTCAAAAACTTCTTTCAACTGAATTGTCTCTTCCCTTAGAATTAAGATTCATCAGTCGTGTATGTATATGCTTGAAGGTGAGGAACCTTTATTGAAGACGGGTTTTGAAGGGCAGAGTGCATATATGGCTTCCAGAATGGGAGGTGAAAGGGACCCCAGCCGACATAGGGTGATTAAACTGGTGAGAAACCTAAGAAACCAAATGTCAACGTGCATAGTTTTGTGCACACGTCAATCCCCCTCCACGTCCGCCCCACAGCCCCCTTGGACCCTGCCTGTGGATGGCCTCATTACCTGTGATGATGCAGGTGAACCTGACGTCGCTGTCCTTGGACACAGCTTGGGACTTGAGAGTGGTCTCGAATACTGGCTGGGTCTCCTCTGTTAGCTGAGCAATGATGGAGCAGAAGGTGCTCCTAGGAAAGGCAAAGAACTATTCAGAGCTGCCTCCCCCCAATATCCCACAGCCTGGCATTGTCCAAGGCAGCTTAAATCTTACCATTTCCATCTGTCATCCTGGGGCCATGGCCAGCACTTGACTACGTCTTTCTTCAAGGAAGCCTAGGCCTCTTAGTCAGGTGGGGACAGCCATGGGACCAAGGGCTAAATGGAATCCTGACCCAGACCCATTACAATAGGAAGCCTTCTGAACACAGGCCAGACTCCTGAGCATGCCAGACACCAGCCTGGCGTCCCACCCCACCCTCATTAGGGGCCTTGCTTCACCCTCCACCTTTCGCCTCCGTGGAAGCTCGTGCATGTATAGGCCCAGCCTCAGAGAGGGAGACCCCAGCATAGCAGAGCCTCCACTCATGCCAGAGAGGGAAAAGCTGGCCAACTCTCAAGGATACATAGGTCCTAGGAGCTCAGGAGCCTATTCTAAAGCTTGGGCTCAGGGAAAGAAAAAAAAAGCCTGCATTTGCAAGCACAGACCCATAGCAGACAAAGAATAAGCCAGCCAATGCCAGGGGTCTAGACCCAGGTTCCTAGGGGTATTGGAAAAGAGAGACTTAAATGAATTCTGACCCTAAACAGGGCTATGGACCTGTTGTGGGAAGCCAGCCATGGCCCCCTGTTCCATACCTGGAGACCACATGCTCAAGTGAACACATGGCTGGCAGCTCCAAGACCAACCAGCAGGACTGCCAAACTACTAAGAGGACTTTTAGTTCCCTGTGACAATCCAACTCCCAGAATTCAGAGGCATTTGTGGGCTCACTGCGTCCAGCACAGACTCACCAACACTGTTTAGCAGTTACAGTCCTCTCCTTCCTGGGCACAGGAAGCAAACCACCATGCCAGACCTTTTCATGGGCCAGCAGAGACTCAATGCGTCCCTAGGCGTGAAGCGTAACCACATAGCCAGGTTGTATGGTGCACAAGCTGTGCCCAGCCTTCCTCCCCACCCAAATTCACACACCCTATTATGAGCAGCAGGGAGGACTGTGAGGGGTAAAGTGAAGAGAAGCAGTAAGAACTGTGATGAAAAAGACAAATCATTCAAAGCTGCCTTTCTCTGTGCCTCGGAGGAGGGGGTGGTCACCCACAGGCAGTGTGTGTCTCCCGTGATCTCCCCACCAGGAGCGGGCAGGGTGAGAGTCTGTGGGAACAAGCAAACAAGAACTACAACCCTACACCTGCCACATTCTATTTGTCCTTTCCGTGGAGATCATTCTGGACTTGAGTTTGAGGAGAAAGACTGCATCCCAAGAAGAGTATCTAAAATCAAGTAAAACTTCTAGACTGATGGGTGCAGCCATGGCGTCTCTACAGGAATGCAGATGCTCAGGCCTTCAGGGAGGACAGGAGTCCACCCCCAAAGACTACCAAGAAAGCGGATCCTGACCTCTCACATAACTGAACACTTGAGTGAAGTCACAGTTAGACGCTCCCTGCAACGTTCTCACCTACAACTCCTCTGTCAGTGTCTTTTCCTTTCCCTTTAATCCACTCAGAAACAGAGGGTCCATCAGGACCTAGACTATCAACTCCCTGACACTCAGGAAATATAACATCTGAAAACGTTTCTTGCTGTTCTTGTACTAACAGCAATTTCTGACTTTGGGGAATACTAAATCCCAACCAACGGTTTCTAGAGGAAACTGCCATGCCAAAAGCAATCAGATTTCTATGATTTTGCAACTAATTCAAAACATTCCTAATTATTTCCTCCCTGCTTAGTTTGAATCCTACCTTACTCATGAACATGAGCCTGGATGTAATATTCAGCTTAGGCTCTTAGGATGAAGCTGCTTGAGCAAGTCTAAGAAAATAATTTCAACTATCGGGTAAGAAAGAAAACATGGAAATCAAGCTTCAAGAAAATCTGCAGAGACAAGCGCTCATGCTAGATATTCAACAACAGGTAGTCATTTTGTATTATTACTTTTTTTGAAGGGGAAAAAAAACACATCTCCTCAAACTTTCCACACTAGGTCCTAAGCTATATTATAAAAAATATGTATAGCCCTAACCGGTTTGGCTCAGTGGATAGAGTGTCGGCCTGCGGACTGAAAGGTCCCAGGTTCGATTCCGGTCAAGGGCATGTACCTTGGTTGTGGTCACATCCCCAGTGGGGGGGGGGGGGGGGGTGCAAGGGGCAGCTGACCAATGTTTCTCTCTCATTGATGATTCTAACTCTCTATCCCTCTCCCTTCCTCTCTGTAAAATATCAATAAAATATATATTTTTTTAATGTATAAATTGGAAAATTATAGGAACTGCTGAAGGGCATGCCTGGATGAGGCCCTCCAGGGGAGTGGGTCTGGATGCATGTCAGACAATAACTGCAGACACTGTCATGTTCCATTGAAGGTCACATGCTTTCTGTCCCCATCTTCCTAACCACTCTGACATGGGATGGAGTCAGTGTGCTTCCAGTCCCCTGGAAAGCCAGGAAGTCCACACATCTGGAAGTGGTCTGTTCCCACCCTGACACCTCCAAATCCTTCCAACTCGGTGACTTCACACAGCTATCACAGCCGGATCATGTGTTCCCTAGAGCAGCAGTCGCCAATCTTTCAGGCCTCCCGGGCCTCCAGTGGTCCGCAGACCACTGGTTGGCGACCGCTGCTCTAGAGAACACCAGAATCAGTGGTTTACATAATGTTCAAAGGAACCTAACTTTGACCTTAGGTATGGTTATTTTACCCTGCTTTAAATGAACTTCCATGATGGTCTCTTTCAGCAGTGACCATGCTCCACTTTGAACTAGTTGTAATACCCTTTCTTCCATCCAGAACCAGGTTCCTCACTGTTCTCCCCATCAAAGGAGAGATTACATGGTAAGTACTAATCACATCTGTAGACATTATTAGCTATTGAGACCAGTTAGCTACTTAAAAATCCTTCTCTGTTTAAAGAAATTATAGCAAACTCTCCCCCAATCTACCAGTCTGGGATGAGGTCCAAGTGGTGGGAATAGTCCAGAAATGCTCCCAACTCTGATTATAATAGTCAGGGGTAAAGAGCTGTCCCCAGCTCAGGAGGCAGTCATTCAATGGGCAAACCCCATCTGTGGCCTGTTCAGGCCCTGCCCTGACTCTGCAGCAGATTCAGAGAATGAGCTAATGCAGGAATACACTAACATGGTGTCCCCTGACCTCACAGAGTTCATAGTCTGCAGGGGTAGAGAGGAGCCAAAGGAAAGGGAAATTCAGAATGAGAGGTGGTAGGAGGCCTTAAGTGACTGTAGAAAAAAAATGTAAGGCAACAGCCATGGTTAGAAGATAGACAATGAGGTGTCAAACCTAGATATGTGGTTACAAAAACCATGAAAACCTAGGATGAAGAAGTGGGTCACATGACTGGTGGCTCCCTGTTCTGGTTCCATGATGCCTCTCCCAAGTGCACAGAGATATAGTGCAGGCATCTCAGAACCCATGCCTACTTCTGAGTCCTTGCACCCCTTTCAAATGGTCCATGCAAGCATCATGTGTGGCCCGTGAGACCCATGCTCACGCGAGTACCTCTCACATCCTACACCACCCACCCTCCAGCCCTCCCCTCATTCCATGCAGCCTGGTTAGTAGTGCACAAGCAGTCACCCAAGGGCCCCTCAGTGTCCATACCCAAGAAAAAAGGCAGTCAGAGAAATGTAATGCGATGTGCATTTACCTTCCAGAGCTGGGGAGAGACAACCGGCTGCTTGATAAGCTAAGCAAAAACAGCAAATGGAATCATTAGGCCAAAAAAGCAAGGAGAGGAGGAGGCAAAATCAACAGTCTGCAAAGTATTAACCAGCCACCATCTAGGGCCCAGAGGCCTTTCTATTAAAAGGGACCAGCTGTCTTAGTTGGCCTGTTCCGGTTAGCAAGTGGCCTCACCATCGGACACCAGTCTATCTGAAACCAAGAGCTCATTAAATGCAGCAGAGTCCGGGGAAATGGTTAGGGCTTAGGCAGAAAGAAAGCCCATTAGGGCTGCGCTTTGAGAAAGGTGTGTCCCAGGCACTTCAGTCACTGCCCCCAAGAAAGGGCTTAGAGCTGCCTGGCACACTTCTCCAGCCCACAGCATAGCAGCCTGGGGGCAGCTCCTGCTTCAACTCTCAGCCTTTTGAGGGAAAAACGCCCCCATTCCTGGAAATCCCCTAATAGGCTGGGAAGGATTCAGATGGCTTGGAGAACACCCATTAATGTGTTAAAGTTCGGTTAAAGAGGCCACACAAGGCAAACCAGCTGGGACAGTGAAGAGGGAAAAAAAACAAAGCAGTTAATTCAGCAGGAGCCAGGAGGCACCCAGTTCAGTCAGACCAGCACAAGGCCCGTTATGCCTAGAGCCTTGATCATCCCTCTGCCGCGGGGCAGCTGAGAGTGGGCACGAGCTAGGGGCTGTGTAGGCCACTGCCGGGTGAGGAGGACCCACCTAGGGCTGCCCCATCGTAGAGATCCAGCCCACCAGATATGAGCCAACTTTTACCTCTCCCTCCTCCTTCCTAACACAAATATCTCTAGTGAAGTCTAGGACCACCATCTCCCACTGCTCTTTGGGAGACTTCGGGGGCCAGCCCAGCCACTCACTCCTTGCAGCTGTCCCTACCATGGGAATAGCTCTCCCTTCGTTGTCAGCAGCCCAGCCTGCTCAATGGCACTGGCAGTGTACATCTTTCACTACAAGAAAGCTCCACTGACAGGCTATCTCTTTATAACCAAAAAACCAAACTCATCCTCTCCGTCCAAAAAACCTGGCTTTCCCTCCAGTGGGTTTGTGGATACCACCAGCACTCACCCAAACTCCAGAGCTCTAACCCTGGCCATTCTGGGCTCCTCTCACCCCTTCTAACCCCCAGGTCCAGTCAATCAACACTTCTTGGCCCTTCTTTCTCCCTCTCTACTCCGGCTATTGTGCTCTGATCTAGACCCTCATGGCTCCATATCTGATGACCACCTCAACCCCCTTCTCCTTCACCCCTCACACCACACCCCTCCTCAGAAAAAAAAAATGCTACAGTCCCCCCACCATATATTATATTGAGTCTCTACTCCTTGGCTGGGCACTTAAGGACTTCCTTGATCTACTCACACTCCCGCTACAGCCATGGTTCTCTGCTTTCCAACACTTAGTCAGGTTCTACTGTAACCAGGCCTGCTCCTAACTAGCATGACGCATCCATTACTGGACTCTGAGCACTCACTTTTGTCCTCCATGCTTGGAAAGCCCTTCCTCTTTCCTTCTGCTCAACTAAATCCTTCCCACCCAGCCTTCAAACCTAGATCTTTTTGTGGTTTCTACAGCCCCTAGCACAGTGCTAGGCATACGGTGGGTATTCAACAACTGTTTCATGGAATAAAAAAACAGAAAAAGGGAAGAGGAGGGAAGGAAGGAAGGGAAGTGCATCTTTCAAACAGGAAGGGTCCTGCCTCCCAGAAGGAATTGCTGCTCCAGAAAAGATGGGAAGAAGAAAGCAAGAATGCAGCTGTCTTTGCTCAGAGCTTTAAAAATCCTCTCGAGACAGCGTGGGAGGAACCTCCCATGGTTCCAAGGCATTGGCCAACTCCATCCTTTCCTGACCATCAACTTCCTTTGCCTTTCTCCTCAGAATCGAGAGATTTCTCCTTTGTTGGGTCTGGATTTCTTCCCTGAGGAGTAGAGGGAGAGAATCAGCTAAATTACAGAGAAAAATGACAGGTTCCACAGCTTCCACCTGCAAGTGGGCAAGGCACTGAGCTGGGAGAGTGACCCTCCCCAGTTCTCTCTCCAGGGCTGGTTGGGAGTCTCTGCTCCCTCGCCCCATTGTCCTTTCTCTAGGCACCACCCAGAGATGTCAGCCAGATCAGGAGGAATCCTGGGCGATGGAGGCACCGTGTCTTCAGAAGGTGGAAGATGTGACTGCCTTGCTGACTGGGCCAGAATGAGGCTCAGGGCTCTCACAGGCAGGGAACTCCCCATTTACTGGCTCTGAGGGGTCAGAATCAGAGACATCAAGTGTTGGGGCAGAAAAGCCTAAAAGAGTTCTTAATGTCACTTTAATTTTAAAGAATGGAAACTCAGGGCTCAGGAAGGAAATGTCTCTTCATAAAGATAGAATTGGGCCTGGAGAGAACCAGGCCTGGCCACAGAAGCTGGAGGCCTCCCATCCTTCTGGCTTTCAGATATTTGAGGCCATAAAAGGCCCTTGGGAAGTCCTGACCTGAAAGCCCTAGACAACCTGCCTGACCTAAGCAAAACAGGTGTTACAGAGTCGTCTGTAGCAAACATCATAGGTTCTGCTGCTCCTCTGAGCTCACTTGGTTGGACCAGGGCCTCCAAGAAATGAGGGGGCAAGGACTTCTCGGACTTCTGAGTGTCCCTCAGAAATGAGGTGGCTGTGATTACATCCAGCCAATGGCAGTTTCCTAACCTACTCTAGCCCCACCTGCCTATAGGGCTGAAGTTCCAGAGGCTGGACTCCCTAGGAGGCTGGGCCTACAGTTTGGTGGGACTATTTATATGTTGGATCTCTGACCCCAGGGGACATCAGAAATACCCTTGAGCTGTCTATGGACTAGAAACCTTTCCAGGGCCATGGGGTGTGGGGAGGGGAGGTGTGTACTGGGAGACAAGTTCTAGACCTGGGCCAAGACTCCTGCTTGGCCCGGCAGCTGGAAAGTGAGCATGATGTCCACTCTCCAGCCTTTTCCCTAACAGCCCGGACCCTTGCTTCCCCCTCCCCCCCATTCTGCTTGGTTTTGAAACCACCGTTTTTCCCCTCCCTCCAGTGCTGCTGTCTCCAAGAAAGGCCCTGCTTCTCCCTCCTTCTTGTTCCACGGGTATTGACAAAGGCCAGACATGGGAGGCCAAGCTCAGATAAGTCACTGTGACAAGTGTGAGACAAGTGTGAGGCTCCCACAAGGCAGTCGGCGTCCCCGCAGACTGGAATGCCAGTTTTTCCGTAGAGCCGGGAGTTAGGAGCAAGGGGCATTCTTTCCTGGCAGCCAGGGGCCGTGTCCAGTCTGACTCAGTCCCTAACACAAGCCTTCGGCCCTGCCCCAGACATGTGATACCATTTGACGACTTTTTATGCAGAAACAGGTTCCGGTTACATTTGAACTTTTCCAACTCCAAGGTCAACAGAACTCAGCCAATTCACGAGGAAGTGCCTGGGACTTTTCCTAAATGTCCTTGGTGCCTATTTTGGTGCTGTTTTAGGAACTGAGGACAGAGGGAGGTAGGTGACCAGGCAGCTTCTCCGAGTGGCTGTTTCCTGCACGCCCACAAGCCAAGTTCTGGGGCCAACCTTCCCAATTCCCTCTGGAAAATATGCTCCCCATTGGGAGGGAAACTGAGCTGCCCAGAGGGGTCAGGAAGGGTCATCTCCATGGCATTGCACGTGTTCCTGTGTGTCTGCTGCCTCTGAGGCCCGCCTGCTTCTCCACTGCCTACCTGTCTCTCTCTTCCTGGGATAACACAGGTCCTAAAACAGCGGTTCTCAACCTGTGGGTCGCGACCCCTTTGGCGGTCGAACGACCCTTTCACAGGGGTCGCCTAAGACCATCCTGCATATCAGATATGGACATGACGATTCATCACAGTTAGCAACATGACAGTTATGAAATAGCCACGACAATAATTTTATGGTTGGGTCACAACATGAGGAACTGTATTTAAAGGGCCAGAAGGTTGAGAACCACTGTTAAAACACCCACAGGAGTAAAGGGCACAGCAGTCTGGCCCCTCCCTTAGCATCCTGCTCCCCCAAACGGGGCAGGGCAATCTTCAGACAGGGCCAGCCGGCATCCCAGCTCACCCCCTCAGCTCACGAGCCCCCACGAAGATCCCGGGGAGACGAGAACCCTGGGCCCATAAGAAGAACCTCACTGGCTTCGGTTTCCTTCGTCCCGGTGACCCCCCGCCCCAGCTAAGAGCCCCCCCTGCTCCCGACCCCCACCCCCCACCCTCACCTGGTGTCCGCTCCCCTCCCTCCAGCCCGAGGAATTTCAGGCGCTCGGGCTTCTTCCTTATCTCTCACTGTGGAATCCGAGGCCCGAGCAGCCAGTGTGGGGCGCGGGGGGCCATGGGCGGGAGTGAGGCCGGGGCGATAAGGGCGCCTTCGGGCCCCTGTGAAACCGCCCCAAGAAAGCTCTTTCTCCTCTGGAGCCTCGAGCAGCGAGAGGGCGTGAGGCCCACGGACTGTGAGGGGCCTGAGGGGACATGAAGGGACGTGAAGGCCACGGAGGCCCGGCCCTGCCCCCAGGCTCAGGCCTCCAGGGGCCGGGGCGCCACCCAGGGCCTGGCCGCGGCCTCTGTGCCCCCCACCTCACCCCTCCCGCACCGCCGCCGGCCCCCGGGGCGCCGCTCACCTGGTCTCCGGCCGCACGCCCAGCAGGTAACTGCGGCTGGTGGGGCTGGGC